ACAAGCAAAAGCAACAATAGATAACAAACAAATTAAACAAACAAAAAAACATTACAATTAAGATCCGTTGTGAAGCTACTAAACTTTTGCAACTATTTCATGATAAAATAACGAATATAAGTTGATATCATTTATTTATTTTTAATTAAATATTTTGAGTGGAAAAAAAATCATATTAGATAATGATTCTCGGACCTAATGTGGCACGAATCCTAATTAATATAAAAGAACCTGAAAGGCTGAGACTTTCTTTACAGAATTCATTCGGGGTGAATTCAATAGTCTTATATTTTATTATCATGAATTTTTCTATTTTTAACTTGTAATATACGAGTATGATATTGTTGAAGCAACATCAATTCCTTGGTTAAAAATATGATTCCGTCACTAAACTGAATTAGAATTAAAATCTCAAAAGAAATATTGCACATTAAATTTAAAAAATGATATAGAATATATTGCAATAAATTGTTAATGTTTATTTCTCTTTGTCGTAATCCTTGCAGCCTAATAAATGTTAAGTGTCCATATTTTTGCAAATGTAAGCCTTCCTCTTTAATTCCCCCAAATAAATGACTTCTGTTGTGCAAGTATAAAAAGAAAATCTAGTGCTATCTACTGATAAATTAAATGAACACCTAATAGTCAATATTAAAAATACGTGAATTATTAGTTTCGTTTTAAATTATTGATAATATTTAATTAAAGTACTCTTTACTTGATAATCAAACTCAAGTGCGCCCTTATTATGTCATATACATAACACAATATTTTGAAACGAAGAATATATTAATATGGAAAGATTTTGCATAGTTTCGAAATGATTGGTATATGATGAAATAAACTTTTGATACATTGCTTTTTTACGTACTTCTTATATTTTTTACTTGTGATTCAAATAAGATAATAGTATTTCTTATGATTTTAACTACAACTTGTAATATCTTCTTGTATCACTTTGTTCTTTCTACATGTTATTTTCAGAAGATATATCAGTATAAATAGATTCAATTACAATCAAGTTTTTATCTTTTTACAGTAGAGATTGATATAATCGATATAACTCAATCATCATAGCTTTTAAATATAAATAATAAATTGTAAAATAAAATATTAGTTTTATTTATAGTAATTCCATTATTTTTATTTATTTTTTTTAAATGGATGGTATCCTTTTTCAGTATAAAATTTGGACATATCTAACTTTCAAGAGTCCAAAACAGTTGCCCTAACAACCCTCTTATTTCATCTCGCAACTAACAAGACAGAAAATACCATAAATACCCCTAATATTCTCATACTAATTAATCCATGTTATAAAGTTAGAAAGGGTATTTTTGTCAATTTCTTCGCTCACAAGTTCTGTACAATGAACTGAAGATAAGCAATGAATATAAGCTAAAGCTATTCTTACTCCTCTTTGTTAATATTATTGAATTTTGTTTGTTTTTTTTCATCCCAAATCTCTATCTAATTCGCCGGAATCTTCACTTCTCCGACCACATCTCGCCGGAGAATGGAATTCAGGGAAGACGAATGAAATCCATCATGTCTACTCTACCGGAAAATGCAGAAAATCCAGTTGGGTCATCCGCCGGAAAATCAAGAATCCGGCGAGTTAATGAGTTCATTTCTTCACTTATATCTCTTTCGTATTCAATCAAAGTTTTCCCTGTGAAATGGCAATCGATACGAAGCAAGCTTGAAGAGCTTCTTTCGAGTTTATCTGCTATTGAGAATTGTGATTCCACAGAAAACTACCCTCCACTCTGCAGCTCCCTTCAGGCCATTACAGCTACCCTCAAGAATTGCCATGAACTTTCTCGGCATTGTGTTGAGTTTTCTTATAGTGGGAAACTGCTGATGCAGAGTGATCTTGATATAGTTTCTACAAAATTAGACAATCATATAAAGAGTATTTCTGAGATTTACTCTCTTGGTTTGCTTACTCAAAGCTCTGCCATTATTGTTCCAAAGCCCAATCTTGGAGCTTCTCGTGATGATATCAAGTTTTATATTAGGGATTTGTTGTCAAGGGTCAAGATTGGGTCTTCAGAGATGAAGAAACAAGGGTTGATTGCTTTGAATGAAATTATTCAAGAAGATGATAGGTATGTTAAAGTTGCAATTGAAATTGATAACCTTGTTTCTGTGTTAGTGAGTTTTCTTGATTTGCAAGAAGATAATCTTCAAGAAGAAGCAGCTAAGGCATTATCTGTAATAGCAGGGTTTCAATCTTTTAGAAGTTGTTTGATTTCTGCTGGAATAATTTCCCCTTTGATTAGAGTTTTGGAGTGTGGGATTGGGTTGAGTAAAGAATTTGCCACCAGGTGTTTGCAAAAGCTCACAGAGAACTCAGATAATGCATGGTCAATTTCAGCTCATGGTGGGGTTACTGTTTTGTTGAAGATATGTATAGAGGGTGATTCTTTGGTTAGTTCAGTTTGTGGGGTGTTGAAAAATCTTGTTGGGGTTGAAGAAATCAAGAGATTTATGATTGAGGAAGGTGCAGTTCCAGTATTTATCAAGCTTGCAAGGTGTAAAGATGAGGTTACACAGATCAGTTCAATTGATTTTCTACAAACTATGGCTTCTGGGGATGAATCAACTAGGCAGATGATCATGAAGGAAGGTGGAATAAGAGCTTTATCTCGTGTTTTGGATCCGAAATCATCGTCCTCATCTAAAGCAAGGGAAATGTCCTTGAGAGGGATTGTGAATCTGTGTTTTACATCAGTAAATTCAGTGAACAACCTGTTGAATTATGGATTTATGGATCACATTCTGTATTTTCTTCGACACGGGGATGGTTCTCTTCAAGAATTAGCCTTAAAGGCAGCATTTTGGTTATGTGGAACATCAGATGAAGCCAAGAAGCTAATGGGGGATGCTGGATTTATGCCTGAGTTGGTGAAGTTTCTAGATTCAAAGTCATATGAGGTTAGAGAAATGGCAGCTGAAACACTATCAAGTATGGTGATTGTACCAAGAAACCAAAAGAGATTTGGACAGAATGATCAAAATGTTGGTTTGCTGCTGCAAATGCTTGATCCAGAAGAGGCAAATTTTGGCAACAAAAAGCTGTTGCTTTCTATACTCATGTCATTAACAAGCTGCAATAGTGCCAGAAAGAAAATTGCAAACTCAGGGTATCTGATAAACATTGAAAAGTTAGCTGAGGCTGAAGTTTCAGATGCAAAAAAGATAGTCAGAAAATTGTCTTCCAATAGATTCAGAAGCATTCTCAGTGGAATCTGGCATTCATAATCAATGTAATTCAATTTTGTCTTATGCTTAACTATTTACCAAAACCAAAAATCAGAAAGGAGATCTTATGTAATATAAACCAAGATAAATGTATTTTATTGTTAAGAAAGAACTTTTAGAACATCCCCTTTTGCCTTTTTAGCCTTTTTTTTAGCTTCTAGTCATATAAACAGCCTCAATAAAAAAAAAGATTTACTGAATATAAACATCTTATTCTTATCTTTTCAAATGTATTATCATTTTGTTTTGTGATACTAAGATGCACATGGGTGAAGGCATGAGTTTAGAGATGGGCAATTGATGTTTTTGTCTTAGTCTTCCAAGGAGCTCAGAGTAGAAAGTGATGGATGAATATGGCCCTCTCTGTGTTTTCTTGTCCTCTTCTTATTGCATTGGTTTTATATTAAATGAACTCATATGTCTTATGTGGAGGACTTCTCTTTGACACTTTTTATCCAATGTGATTTTAAGGGTCAGAAAAATTGTTTGGAAGAAACTTTTGATGGCTATACCAAGTAGATGTGATCAATTGTGTAGATATTGTAAAGAATTAAAGCCTTACAAATGAGTTAAGGACCACTATGACTTTTATAAACACACATAATTTAACAATATTGAAGTAATATATGAGATTATTCTATCCCACTTTTGGTTGAACTTTTGATTTCAGAATTAGAGATAAAAGTTTGTCCCAATCTAATCTCAGTTTAACTTGTTCACCAAACTAAATGACCCCTTAAAACGTACTAGGATCCACTTTAACATATCTAGTATAATTTTAGTTTATCAACTTATATTCAGGAACAAATATTATATGCAGATAGGGTCTTATGTTATCTGATCATGTAAATATTTTTTAATTTTACAATGTCAAGTAAAATATAAATGAAACTCGTCTTTAACTCTCAAATATTACATTTTCCATGTAGCTGCAAGTCTATGGTTGGTTGCCACTGTCAATCATGGCCTCACTACTTAGTACCCAATAACTTAGCTTGTATTCAATTCAGTACACTTCAAGAGTAGATGGAGAGATCAAGTGACCAACATACAACCATGGAGAATAATGCATCATTATGAACATGAAACAGCTAAAAAGTACACAACCTTGAAGAACTCAGTTATAAATGTAAATGGTCTAATAAATCCTAAGAATGCTTTGATACCTAAAAAGTAGTCTCAAGATTTACCCAAGATCCATGATATGTGTTATATCCATTTATTATGTGTACCTTTTTTCTCTTACACCCCCTCAGGGTAGGTGGGCTTATTGCAATTTGCAGGGGAAGATAGTATGTTTGTACTTGAAAAAACATGATTTCTTATGAAGAAATATTGGACCACAAAATGCCAGGTTTTTAAAATTGGGCTTTATGTCATCAACATAACCAAATATGAGTAAGAGTTAACAATCCAGACAGAGACAAGTTGGACCACAAGGTCCACACTGAGCACTGTGAAATTCTGAATTCTGTCAATTGGTATTTTATAAAAAAAAGAGTAGTCAAAACAACAAAAGAGAACAGAGAAAACAGCAAAATATTTCTAGCCCAAAATCAAGGCCTTTCTTTAGTTTGAACCTGCCTTAGCTCAATGGTCTTTCTTTCTCTTCAACTCATGCCCAACTAGGTGAGCCTTCAATCTCATTATCAAAATACCCAATTTGATCAGTTTTTGAACCAATAAAAATTAAATGTGTTCTATTACCTTTTCATTCCAGCTGCAAACTTAGCTAAGACAACAAATAATTAAGCAAATGCATTAGAAACCTTCTTCCTTGCACAAAAAGAAACAGATACAAGAGGCTTGTTTTACACCTAAGTCTCTCCATGTTATCATTCACAAAACACCATTTCCATAACCATATTAAGACATTGGAAAACTATTTACCACAACATTCTTCAGCCCAAGTTTCTTGGTAATTGTTGAGACTAGAGGATGTGATCATGATCATTTCTCAATTATTCAGACAAGAACCATCACCTTTAGCTAGTCAAAAGCTAATTAACAATCCTTTCTCAGTACGTCATGATACTGCACCATATCTTTAGTATCTCTCCTGCAGACGTTAACAGAGAATAAGTGTTGAACAAATGGAGAGATAGCAAGTTGACTCATTTGAATAAACTGCAGAGGTTGTTATTGAAAGCATTGTATTTCTGTCACCAAGTTGTTACAGAATATAGAAAAGAGCATTCCAACAATTTTAAAAATCTCTACTAATAAAAAAATTCCAATAGAGAATTCTAGGGTGTATGGCCAATCACTTTGGTGCTGTAGTTTTGATTTTTATTTTTTGATCAAGAAAATTTGTATGACCCCTTCCTTCCGGGTTAGCCTAATTAAATTCCAGTTCAAAAAGCTAGAACCATTGAATGTACAGAAGTGCTCTAAAATGAATAACTTTGATGCTACGACAAACTTTTGGCTGGTCAAACTACTAGATCAGTATATTGGCAAGAGAAAACGCGAAACAACTTTTTTTAACAACTAAAAAGGAATCAGCAATCTAAGTTGTTGTATCTATGGATAGAATATGTCTTTCAGACATATATCATTCTCTTCTCTTTTTTTTTGAAACTGAGTCTTTCATACATAAATATCATTAATACTTTGTCTTCTGAATGTCTTTAGTAACTCAAATTTGAATTTTCAAATGGTTGACATTACTATAATAGAGAACCAGCAAAATAGTTTTTTGGTTTGGGAACTCATTGTTTTCTGATCAACCTTTAAAGAATCTGACAGACATTACCTTGTTTGGTGGTTTTAAACAGGGAAAATACATAAATCCCCGCCGCCGCCACCCCCAAAGTAGTCTGTTTTCGCCCATTAGAACCTCAACTATGTAGGGTTCCTATTAAATCCCTCTTGTCCACAATGCTCTTTAACCTCCTTACAAGACAAAAACCACAATAGCTGAGAAAGTGGTGCACGAACCACTCATAAAATAATAGATATTACCTTTTCTGGTTATTTTAAATAGGAAATATACATAAAAATCACCCCTCCACACACAAAAAAAAAAAGTTGTCCGCTTTAAAGAAATTTGTTTCTAAATCGACACCCTATCGGACACCCAAAACCAATTCCGAGCAACTTAAAGTTATAGGACACACATAGTTAAAAGGTTGTAATGGTTGAAAACAGACAATTGGAGGGAGGATATTCCAAGTTATCTCCCTCTTAAATACAAATACATCATATCATGTCATTCACAGAGAAATAAACAGTAAAACAACGCATAAGAGGGTTAGGGAAGCAACAGCTTACTTGATCTGTTCCCATTGTACCACTAGATGCATAAGTCCTCTGCTCCCCCCCTTGCATGTTGCCCTGCTGCTCTATCGGTGGGAAATTCTGATTTCCTCCTGGCCTTGGATTGTTCTGCCCAAACTGGGGCCCATATCTCAGTGGTTGATCTCCAAAGGTTTGTTGTTCAGAACTTCCACCTTGTTGAGACCCATAATGTTGAACTCCTCCAAAGCCTCCTTGCTCTGGAGGTGCACCACCTCTCTGGTCTCTTCGAGGAAAAGGTGAACGTATTGAATCACCCCATCCAACCTGGGAATTATCCCACGCATCTAGGTTGCTATCAGGAGGTGCAGGACCCCTATGATCCCCAGCCCCTTGAGGCCCATAGATCTGTTGAGGTACAAATTTTGGCTGAAGGCCATGATTCCACTGAGAAGGAACACTCTGAGGTACACCGTAACTCTGGTTTGGCTGAGGATTCTGTGGCCGCTCATAATTCTGCTGTGGAGAAAGATCCTGTGGTTGTCTGTAGTTCTGTTGAGGTGGCGGAGCATACTGTCGTGAGCCATAGTTCTGTTGCGGTGGAGGATACCTTGGTGGGCCATAGTTCTGCTGGGGTGGAGGACCCTGTGGCGCGTTATAATTCTGCTGTGGTGGAGGACCCTGTGCTGCACCATAATTCTGCTGTGGTGGATGACCCTGTGCTGGCCCATAGTTCTGCTGAGGAGGGCGATAATTGCCTTGTTGATACTGTGGGCCTCTTCGAGGCCTGCTACCTTGTCTTTGAAACTGTGGAGGAGGTGGTCTCTCAATGATTTCTCCGTTATTATACTTGTCACCTGATGTAAATAGCACGATAGAAGCAGGAGGAAACCACAACAAAATTCAAGTTATATCATATACAGCATAACCATGGTTTTGAAATGCTAATAAAAAATAACATTCAGACCTCCATATTCCTTGTTTACTGGATCAATATAGGAATCAGGCAGTACAAACACAACTCCTGGGAGACCTGATAGCAGAGACAACCTCTATATCAGACAAACAATGCATTTATCATTGCTCAGAAAGAAATATACAACATAATCTACACCCACCTTCAAACTTCTTCGATGTGTCCTCTGAACACAAGACCTGAAAACCTCGGTAAGTTGTTGTGCTTAAGGCATAAATCTTTTTCTTAGCCTCTTCCACACTGCAATTAGTTAAACAATACAAAGGCCACAAAGAAACAAAGTATTAGGTCAATGAAAGGAAGCTCACTCTTGATTCTATAACAAGTGCATATTAAGTTGTAAAAGTCAATATCAATGGGTGACAAAACAGAGAGATAATTTATCTTATCAGTAGATGACACAAAATCACAACACTTAGAAAACCACAGAATGCCCAAAAGAATATAATAATGCTGGACTTCCATGCAGGAAACAATAGGAAAGATCCAAAAATTGCACCAGAATCAAGTATACACCTACTTAGAGCTACTAGACAGTACCCATATCCACCATAAACTGATAACATAAAGCTTCCAAGTCCTATGTAGCATCATAGATAAGATTTGGGGTAATACTTCTTCTACTGTCTTAGTGACTGCATATTAACAACTGACATCAGAACCAACGACGTATCATAGAAAATGATCAAAATACATACAGTTCGAAGCCAATTTAATCTATCTAAAAGGCGAGCTCAGCTCACCAAAGATATTATAACTACATCATCCAATGATTGCAGCTTTCTAACCCACTAATACCAAGTCAGTATCTCCTTTTCCTTCTTCAATTGGAAGAACATATCAAATATCAAGCATAAAATGTTAAAGGACTTTGAATACAGATCAAACAATTAAGGGAAAGGTTATAGAAATCACCTCCCGAAGACCTTAGCAGCAGTCTGCACATAAGTCTCAATCATCTCTTCCCTCGTAAGCTGAGTATCTTTAGGAAAATCAATCACAATCAGCCAATGCTCATAATCGCATCCTTCGAAGAGGATTGTGTCGGGACCTATTTCATCGTCAGCTGGATTTCGGTCAAATGATCGAGACCTCGAGGACAGCGATATTGTAGAAGACCTAAATAGTCTCCATTGGGACGGAAAATCGAAACGGTTAAGCTTAGACAAATTGCTTTGGGTAGACGTACATTGGGAGAGTGATGCAATTGGAGAAATGAGATTTGGTTGATGGAAAGTTTGAGCAAAAATTGAAGAAGAAAGAGGGAGAGCTCGCCGGAGACGGGAAGTATACAGCGCCATCGCTGGTGGATATGTGTGGTTGCCGACGGAGGAGAGAATGAAATGAGGAAGTAAACTCTGTGCTAGGGTTTAGGGTTTTAGAATTGAATTAGGGAATAGAAAGGGAGAAGAGAAGTGCCGATTAAATTTCAGTTTTATTGAATTATTTCTGGGAAAATTTGATCTTTTGTTATTTTCCACCTTTGTGTTTCTGGGCCAAAAAACAAATTGCGGTGAAACATTACTAGCCCAAAATTAAGGCCCATCTTAGCCCAATAAGTTTCCCTTTTTTTTCCTCTTCAATCAAGCATGGTTCAATTTTATTTTATTTTTACTTTTTAAAATCATCTTTCCATGTTTTTATATCTATATCTATATAATATTATCATAAAAATCCGAATATGGTTAGAAAAATGTCTTATGTTTATATTATCCTTTTTTTTATTATGTTAAATAAATTTAAATTATCTTTCTACTATTTAGAACTATGAAATCAATTGATAATTTGAAAAAAAAATAATGATTGTTGTGATTTTGGATATGTGGTCTAAACACATGTCATGTGAAAAAGTTGAATTAGAGGGAATAGCTAAATACAGAAAGATATATTAAAAATTGAAACGATGGAGGCCTTATGGGACAATTAATGAATGTGTGATGTTACGATCAAGCATTTACCATGATATCAAAAGTCAGGCCTTATGGGACAATTAATGAATGTGTGATGTTACGATCAAGCATTTACCATGATATCAAAAGTCATCAGAGGTATAACTTTATTTATTAACTAAGTTCACAAGTAAGCTTTTCGTAGGCCTTGTCATGGGCAACATATTGACAATATCCAACATCGTGCGTGTGTTTTTAACTAATATAGCTGAAATTTTGCGTACCAACATTTAAATTTTAGATGGAACACAAATAAGATCAAGTTGTTTATCAAGTTAAAACAAAATTATGAACTTTTCAAATTGTGTTTTGTTCTTGATGAAGACGTTATAACCAATACTATAATGTGAAATTAGGCAGTAGATTAATTAGTTTGCAAGTTTGTCGTTATGGCCAGATTTACAATTTTTAATTTGTTAGATATATACTAGGATTCATTTTTAAATAAAATTTCCAAATAAACTATGTCATCCTGTCCCCTAGCTAGACTTTTCAAAAATAAAATAAAATAGTATTTCACACGTACAATTTCCACTTGGCTTTTCAATTCCAATGAACACAAAATCAGTCAATTTCAATTTAATCGATACGTATAAAGTAGTGACCCTGGTTAAATAAAATACGTACTAATTCAATTGGAGTAAATGATCAAACAACTAAATAATAATTAATTATTGTATACTAGTCATTAGTCAAAGTAGATTGAGTTTTTTTTTGAAAAAAACTCTCCTCAACATAACTATTTTTTTTTTGGTAACTACTTATATAATAATGTGTTTTATATGGTTGTCTTCTCTTGTACATTAATTTATCACGTACAGTCCATGAACTGACGTGACGAAATATAATATTTTTGTATAGGAATAGCTAGTGTTATATATAAGTTATTAATCTACCAACCCTTATTTTCAGCAAATATACATGGGATCGTTAGCCTGTAACATTAATACAACGTAAAACCGTTGACTTTCATGGAATATCTAATTACACAATATCATCATACAATTTTTTTATTTTTATTTTTTTCGTTTTCTAATTTTGTTAATTTTTATAAAGTATAAAGCAAAATTAATAAAATTTTATTCCCAGCGTAACTGTCGGTTATCTATATATATATATATATAATATATAAACAGTATTGTACTCATCAAATTAAACTTACATTCGGATGTCCCAACACCAAAACTGTATATACTAACTTAATCTTACTCGATTGATCATAAAATATTAGAAATATATTTTAATAGAATAAATATAGATTTAATCATAATAAATGTTTATATACCAACCTCAAACTATAGCTGCGTAGGTCGATGATAAATCGTTATCAAGACACTTGAATTTGCCTAAAACGTTTACTAGATAGACCCACTGTTGATGTCCCTAAAGGAATGTGATGTGTGGTCTCTCTTGTCTACGATATTGCTGCTTACATTTGATTTATTTTTTTTCTCTTTTATAGTTGAAAAAATAAATAAGAGATTTAGATCAACGAAAATGTTAATAACCTTAGTTTCTAATCTTTATAATTTAACTTCTATGAATAATATTTTTAATTATCTGACTCAAGATACCCACTATAACATCCAAGTTGATGCAAGTATACAAAAACTAGTATCTGAAATTCAGTTCGTTTCTTGAAACAACAATGAGATTAAACTAGAGGAATTTTTTAATTATTTTTTAATAACAATAATGAGATTTAGTCAGATTATTCCTCCAGCTTGACAAAATTACACTTTTACTAAATTTGTACCCATTGTTTTAACAACTCGATAGATCAGAAGGGAGCTCATGCAATTAATTAATTAACTTGACCACTTGGATAAACAATGACATTTTTTTCATATTCCATGTTCCAAGCAACTTTCTTTTACTCAAAAATATCTATCGTGTTTTCTCTAAATAGTTATCTCAAATTATTTATTATTTTAAAAGTTTAAAACAAAATTCATTATTTCTCTCCCCCTCCCTCCCCCCTCACCCCACTTTTTAACTTAGCTGTTATTTTTCTTAAAGACTACAAACACCTCAATCATGAATGACATAAATAAAATAATATTAAATGAAGAGATATTATATTTTAAGACGTAAATAGTGATAAAATAGCCAAAAAATTCCTTCCAACTACTTTTCTCAAGAAACATACAAAGAAAAACACGATAACTAATTTGAGACAAACAGATCAGAGTATAGATAAGTCTTCTTTCCGAAAAGTTTATGCTTTCTTTGATTTTTTGTTCTCATTCTATATAGACTAACTAACTATATAGTTACTATATCTAGTCACTAGTCAATACTCGAGAGTCTATGAGCATGAGGGGCACACCGTTGAAGGACTATATAATCTTTTAATTTACTCTATAATTTATAGCAAGAATTATTCAACCAACGAATTTTCATAGAATTAATATTTCTATCAAGAGATGGGTTGGAAAAAATTACATTATGATTAAATATGATGGTGATAAAAAATATTTTGACATGTAAAATAACTCTAAATTATTGATGTATACTATAATTTAACTCTTTATTAAAACGGCACTATATATCTTCGAATAATAACATGGGTAAAAAGGAACTTCCCAAAATTCGAATAAATTTAGAAGAGAAATATTTTTAACCAATCCTTGTAGCTAATTTTTTTCTTCTATTAAATCACGTGAAGATGAAGAATCCAAAAGAAAAAAAAACTATTCACTATCAAAAATATGAAATTAGCTAGCTACAAAATTTATAAACAATTCTAATTGATTCATATAAATCCATAAAAAATTAGAACTTTTTTTAAAATTTATTTTTTCAAAAAGAAAAATATTTTTATGCCGCATGTGATGTAATACCTCGAGAGTTTAATGCTACATAAATTTTTCTACTACTATTACATATCTTTGTTTGGATGAGATATACTTTAGGATAACGATAATATTTATATAATATTCATATAATAAATTGACACGGTTTCTTCATGCATAAAGCTAATTTTATCTTTTTAACATGGAAAACTCCACCGTCCACGCTAAAAGTGTCTATTTAATTAATAATTATCTTCACTTTTTTTTAGTAAAATATATCCAGCTTTTATTATAAGTGGATAATCCTTACCTAGAGAAAATATTTTAAAATAACACGTCAGTTATTTCCAAAATCTACTAAATTTGGACACTGATTCCTCAACTTTTTCTTCAAGTAATTAATATTTGCACGTTGAATGTGAATTTTAAGATGTATAGTTATAAGTCATATATACAACATTTAAGAAAATTAGAAATCATTGCATGTACATTGTAACAACCATATTATAAAATAATTATAGTACAAATCGACTAAAAAGAGAATATTTCGCCAAATGATTTAACTTTTGTTATTGTTAGAATATATTATTAGATTATTATTTAGAGAGGAGAAAAATATTTTTTTCTTCCGTCCCATATGAAACCAAAATTAAATAATAGATTTAAACTTGTTAGATCCAAAAATGGCCCCGGAAAAAAAGGAAGAAAAAGGAAAGTTCTACTAAATTAAAGTTTAACCTAATATATTAAATTCAAGATTTAAATTTTTATCGGTTCAATATTCTAACATACTTCGCATCGAAGGTGAATCCATTATATCTTCAAAGAATTTAGATGTTTTCTTTTATATGCAATTATGTCTAAACATGATATCGGTGCATAATGGAATTCAGAGGCTAAGCAACGTTTAAAATTAATTGAGAGTTCTAAATTTTGTTACTAACTGTAATTAACTTTGTTAGAGTTTACAAATTGACATATATAAATATTTAATTAATTTTTTACTATAAATATAAAATCAAAAAAGCTATTAGGTTCGATAAAACCCTAGCTCCACCCATGATGGGATACACCCCTACTTATTCAAAGTTCACACACCGATGGTTATGGGAAAACTAATAAATTTCAACAATATTACAAGTTGGAATAAGTCAACATTCATATTATTTTTTTTAAAAAAAAAGAGAGGCTTTTATTACATTTTAAAGGAAAATGCATGAAATATGGGGTGGGAGTTGCTTTCATTCTAAAGGTATTAAAAAAATATTTAAACTATTCTAAACCTGAAATAACTTTTAACAGGTAAGGAACATTGCCTTTATTATTTGTGACAGTATGTACAACTTCATAATTAAATGTTGACAGATAGTATTATTGTACATTAAACGATGCATTCAATGATATGATACATACGTTACGGTATGAACTAAGTATTTATATGTTGGACTGTTGGTTTACAATATGGCATTGCTTTCAACTACTTGATTAATATATATTTGACTTCTATATTTTATTCGTATACAATAACCACCTACGGGGATGGGGTGGGGGCGAGCGTTGAGTCGACTTAAGGCTTAGTTTAACCCATTTCTCTAACCTTATCTAATTATCCAGCGATGAAACAAATGAGATTTTTTAATTTTCAATTTTAAATCTTGTAATAAAGATAAACTATTTTTCTCTCTATCTGAATTAGTCAGTCTAATGAATATTATAGCAAAATATATGATTTTTTTTTATCTAAAATAATTAAAGGCTATATGGCTTGCTGACTTTATGCCTCAACCTATGTAAATTAAGGCAGATAATTAATATATATAGTCTGTAATTCTCTATTAGGGTCCAAGAACAAACTATGTGATTCATATTCTATAGTTCTGTTTTTTTTAAAAGAAAATATCATATTCTATAGTGGCCATTATAATCCTAGTGGACAAAAAAAAAATGACTAAAGAACTTTAATTGAAACACAAGGATTTGGAGCACAAATAATCCAACTAGGAAACAACTAGAGGAGAATCCACACCAACAAAATTAAAGCAGTCAATAGAACTATCACATGGATTTTTATTACTACAAAAAAAGTCAGTATTTATCATGATTTATGGTGAAGCAAATGCAAGTGGTCTATTAATACTTAAGAGGCTATGTTCACCATAACTCTATCTACAATCCAAAAATTAATATGTGGCAACCCATAAAGCAGCAATTTCGTAATATGATAATTGAATATTTTATTGGAGTCTGACTATTTTAAATTCATGTTATAAAGGGTTTCGAATTTAAGAAATGCTCTTTTCTTAAAAAAAAATCATACTTAGAATTTCGTTGAAGGAAATTTAAAAAACGCTTATTATTTATGTTACTCTTGATATTGTCCAAAAATGATGAGTGTATGATTAAAAACTGATTTAAAGAGATAATATTTGTATCTATCTCCTCTACTCATTGCTAGAAAAAAAAGTAAAATAGTGATACACATTGAATCCATCTACTTAATGTTTTAAATTTGTCCCTCTTTTTTTATGGTTAATATGTTAAATTATGTCCTAATTCTTAAATTATTTGTCAATAATATGGAAGAAAAATACAAAAAGATTATTTCCACAATCGATGTCATCTCATTATGTAAAGTGAGAAATTGATGTATAATAAAAGAATGTAAAAGAATAAATAAAAAATATTAAGATGACGCGAGACTTACCACCTACTTCCGTTATGTGTAAAGTCAAGCCATCAGGTTTGAATTTTTTAGATCATTAATTCATAATTTTTTCATTAATTAAACTCGACAGTACTATTTTAATTAATCAGCTCTCTATTTTTCCACTTGTTTGGGACCCAACTTTTTATTTTTCCACTTGTTTGGCCTCCACTTGGTTTTATATCTCTGTGCCAATCTAAGGAAAATAAAAGAGAAAAGAAGTGGCTGGTTGATTTTTGGGATTTTCATGGGACCTTAACTATAATAATACTAGTAATTATAATGCGCACGCTGGCTCAGGGACGGATCTAGAAAGTAACAAGGATGTTCACTCGATATATAATTTTTTAAAAAAATGTTATATTATATATTAAGTGTTTTTTTAAAAAAATTTATATGTATGTAGAAAAATCTGAATCTCTATTCGGTAATTTAGGAAGTTCAAAATTTACGTTAAAAATTTCATATTCAAAATTTAGGCATTATTTATCAAAATTCCTGTATGAAAATCTTAGAGTTACCACTAGATAACTCACTACTTCAAATGAACATTTTAATTGGGGCGATTAAAGGATGTTACTTTTTGGATCTAAATATCTTATCAATAACAATATATTTAATATAATTTTATATGTGAGATTTGAAAAATATAATATGTAAGTGATTTTATTCTTTCTTTTTAAAAAGATGAAATAAAAGTCTAGTCAATGGATAACGAAAATAAAGCAAAGTTTGAGATAATTAATGAATTCCCATACACCATTTATTCTACAAAAATAATGAAATTCTTCTTTGAGGATAGGAATATGGTCCCTTGCGGTTGAAGTAAACGGTTGTATTGAAAAAAAAAGTCAACTAAACCAGCAAAGAAATATTGAAAATATTTGGCACTAATATCCTAAAAAGGAAATATAAAGATAAAATTAGATGAGTAATGGCTGATGTGTAATTTGCCAATTCAGTGGGAACTCCCTCCTTTGACTGCCGTTCATAATTCATCACTTCCTTGAGATATTTAAAATTCGACTAAATTTAAATGTATATCAAAAAAATTTATATTAAACATAAAATGTCTTTTTTAATAAAAGAGATTGTGACAGTAACTTTGAATTAATTCACAAGCCTTACATCTTTTTGTTTTAAAAATGAAAATAATCATGAATAATAATTCACTGCAATATTTAATGTAAGTATTTAATTAAATGGCACTGTTATTACCTCCTAATTATTAGGTGTGGTGGATAGAACACTACTGCGAATAAATGCGTAATTTATGTTATTAAATATAATTTTTCATTTATTTATACTTTCATCGATATAGTAATATTTAAGTAATGAACAATCGTTTGAGCCTTACTAAAGTGAAAATTTCTGTTCATGCAAATTTTGTCGAGCTTCTATAATGGATACTTGTTAATTACCATCTAAACAACCTTTTTGCAAATGTCATGATTCACAAATTTAATTCAACGAGCTCAACGTTCTAAAATATTTTTAAAAACCTTTTATTTATGATATTTTAAAGATGCAACGCTCACGGTACGTTCATGTTAGAAAACAACGAATACAATTAAATCCATATTTAACACTATCCTTTCATGTGCGACCAAATGCTAAATGATAAAATTAATAAACAAACATGCTCAATCAAAAACCGCAAATTAAGTCCACTTTCCACTATCTTAATAATACACTTTTAAAATCCTAAATCTACTGGGAGATCCTAAATTAATTCGTTTAGCTAGGATAAAGATTCTTGTATAATTATACATGTTCACCTCTTGAATAAATGTTGAAGTGATATCAAGAACTTTATCTGCTCTAATATTATATTAAAATATGCGGTTATCTCATCTTAAAATTTAAGTTATAAAAGACAACACACTGTACTACATTTAGTACAGGTGCTATGTATTTTCATTATAATTCTCTATCGTTAATTCAATTACAGCTAAATATTTTTATACCACTAAAAAAATAAATCTATCTATCATCGAATATATATCTTGGGTAGTGATAATACATCGAGTCAATTATGTGTTAAGCATTTAAAATAAAGTTCTAATAATGCTGAGATAAGATTCTACGCATAGTTTTGACAGCTAAATAAAAAAAACATTAATTCAAAAAAATAAAAAATTGTGACAGCTAAGGTTTACAACATTGTAATAGCCTCCTTCACTTTCTATATATACTCTTTATTTCCCACATCTTCTCCTCTATATTCCTTCTCTTTCATTATCAAATTTATTTTCAAAAAATCATAATTTTTTCTACTTAACTTTGTTCTGTGATCAGCTCGGAAAAATGGCCGGTGGTGGTGGTATTGGTCCCGGCAACGGGAAAGAATATCCCGGCGAGTTAACTCTTTATGTTACTATGACTTGCATTGTTGCTGCCATGGGTGGTCTCATTTTTGGTTATGATATTGGAATTTCCGGTACGTGACCAGATAATAAATTTAACTTATATACATCGATCGATTGATCGACAGTATACTGATAATTTTTAATTTTTTTTTATGTTATGGATCAGGGGGTGTGACATCAATGGACACATTTTTGAATAGATTTTTTCCATCTGTGTATAGAAAGCAAAAAGCAGATAATTCAACTAATCAGTACTGTAAATTTGACAGCCAAACACTGACTATGTTTACATCGTCGTTGTATTTGGCTGCCCTTGTGTCTTCTCTGGTGGCATCTACTGTCACCAGAAAATTAGGAAGGAGACTTTCTATGCTCTCTGGAGGTATCCTATTTTGTGCTGGAGCTTTGATTAATGGATTTGCTCAGAATGTTGCTATGCTCATTATTGGTCGTATTTTTCTTGGTTTTGGTATTGGATTTGCCAATCAGGTGCGTCTATTTTTTTTATTCAATTTAAGTTTTGTGTGCTTGTTGTAAAAAATATTCATTGAACGAGCCTTCTTGTGGTTGGCATGTGGTAATATTCCTAATTATTTGTTTGTTGGTCCGCGCCAATATTACAATAAAAATAACTTTTAGCAGTAATAAATATTAAGTGCTACAATTTCTTTTAGCAGCAGAATCAATATCGCAAAAGATTTTATGACTTTACTTGGCTAATGATCATTTTTGATACAGTACGTGTTTATGCTATTGAGCAACATTATCTATGTGTTTGTCTCTGTTTAATTATTTTTTTTTCTTTCATTTAGTTCAAGGCTGTTCTGTTCTATGGTTCCCCTGTTCTTTTGGATTATGCCATGGAATTATGTTTATTTGTTTTATTTATTTATTTATTTCTTGGTTTTTAAAAACTGTAAAATATAATAATGGCAAGTTGTCGGTCAACACTTCTCCTGCTGTGCGGATCTGAATGGCAGCAAGTACTTACTGAATCCATATATTAGACCACTCATTAAATATATTTTTATTTTATTTTTCTTAGAAAATAATCTTTTTATATTTTGTAAAAAAAAAATTACACTTGAAATCTTAGTATTCACTAAATATCTTGTATTTGTCCATTGAATAATGAAAATATTTTTTGGTTTAAAAGAAAAATGTGTTTTGAATACAACATCATTGTGATTTGGACTTTCGAGCTCTTCCAAGTAAGAGGAACCTACTTTTTTAAATATTGCACGTTAACCCTACATGAAAAGACTTTTTTGCTAAAAAAAACCCCACCACGCACTGTAAACAGTCCATATTTCACCATTATATATATTTTTTTAAAAAAATAATTATTCTTCAGTCCTTTAATTTGAAAAATAAATCTACTTTGGGATTCTTCAGCAAGTTGTGATTGTCATTATCACTTAATCAATATTTAATCCAATGAAAGTTGTTGAGATTTTTTTTTTAAAAAAAAAAACTCTTTTCCTAAAACACTGTTTAGATGTGTGTATTTTATTTTACTCCAATTTTTGTGACGTTGCCGTGATTTCTTTTCTACACCGTTAGCTCATGAATACGACTATTTATAATAATAAACAAATTCGTATAAATCATAAAATTTACATATTTGTTTTTATTTTACTTTCTTTAATTAAGTATTATTGATATATATTGTGTTTTTTATCAACTAGGACAAGAACAAGTGGCCCCCCCTCATGAAGAAAATACAATTCCTCTTACTTTTTTTTTTTTTTAATGTTAACTCGATAATATTTTAGTATTTGAATTTTGAGATTTTAATCATGTCAAGTAGAATGTTGAAATCAAAAGAGTTATCCGATATAGAAAAAAATTGTTATCTTTTTAATGGGACTAAAAAAAGTTTCAGTCAGATACTTAAATTGAACTATTTTTGTTGTTGTTTCATTGACTTGCAGTCTGTTCCACTATACCTATCAGAAATGGCACCATACAAATACAGAGGAGCACTGAACATAGGTTTTCAACTTTCCATCACCATTGGTATACTTGTAGCCAATGTGTTAAACTATTTCTTTGCCAAAATTCATTGGGGATGGAGATTGAGTTTAGGAGGTGCTATGGTACCTGCATTGATCATCACAATAGGTTCATTATTCCTCCCTGAAACCCCTAATTCGATGATCGAACGTGGTAACCACGACGAAGCCAAAGCTCGATTGAAGAGAATTAGGGGAATTGAAGATGTAGATGAAGAGTTCAATGATTTGGTTATTGCTAGTGAAGCTTCTAGGAAAATTGAACATCCCTGGAGGAACTTGTTGCAAAAGAAATATAGACCACATCTTACAATGGCAATTATGATCCCATTTTTCCAACAACTTACTGGAATCAACGTGATTATGTTTTATGCACCTGTGTTGTTTAAAACCATTGGTTTTGGTACTGATGCTTCACTTATGTCTGCTGTGATCACTGGTGGAATCAATGTCATTGCCACTATTGTTTCTATTTACTATGTTGATAAATTAGGAAGAAGATTCTTGTTTCTTGAAGGTGGAATTCAAATGCTCTTTTCCCAAGTAAGTCCATTTCTTTTTTCTTGCGAATTCAGAAAATTTAGAGTCTATTTTCTAATTTGAACTTGTTTTTTTTTTTGAATTGATGTACAGATAGCCGTGGCAATTTTGATAGCAATAAAGTTTGGAGTAAATGGAACTCCAGGGGAATTACCAAAATGGTATGCAATAGTGGTTGTGATATTCATTTGTGTATATGTTGCTGGATTCGCTTGGTCATGGGGTCCTCTTGGATGGCTCGTACCTAGTGAAATTTTCCCACTGGAAATTCGATCAGCTGCACAAAGTATCAATGTCTCAGTGAACATGATCTTCACATTTGCAGTAGCACAAGTTTTCTTAACAATGTTGTGTCATTTGAAGTTTGGATTGTTTCTGTTTTTCGCCTTCTTTGTGGTGATTATGACTGTGTTCATATACTTCTTCTTGCCTGAGACGAAAAATATTCCGATAGAAGAGATGGTGATTGTGTGGAAAGAACATTGGTTCTGGTCTAAGTTCATGACTGAAGTTGATTATCCTGGAACTAGGAATGGAACTGCTGTTGAAATGGCTAAAGGGGGTGCTGGTTACAAAATTGTATGACTTTAGTTTGGGTTTTTAAATTTTTATTTGTTGTTTGTATAATGTTGTAGTGGGGATGATATTGATAATTATTAATTAGATTTGATTGAAACTGTTTCTATTGTTTACTTTTGCATAGAAAAAAATACATAACTTTGTTCAATAGAAAATTTGGCAAAGCAACTGTGTAGCCTTTTGTTTGTTTTGTTGGATGTACTATTTAGTAGTTCTAGTCTTTTAGTGTAAGATCTTTATTATAAAAAATTATGTTCATAAGCTGTGCACTGGATACAAATCTTTGATTTAAATAGTAATTTATGTGAAATTGTTTTATTTTGTGCGGAGGGATTTCTTTTAAAATTGTGATTTTCAACGAGTTATAGATATTTGTGTGATCGTAAAATATGTTATTAGAGTAAAGTAAGATTTTAATTTGCTAAACTTTTACCCTTCTTAATTTGCCCATTGTATGGTATAATATGTGGTCTGGGCCAGCCAATGCCCAGTTTTGTTCTTTTTTACTCGATCTGTACAGCTACACTTTGGTAAATAAATGCTGTACTATATACTTTCCAAAAAAGAATTATAATAATGTTTTTTTTTTCTGGACTAAATAAATATTATAAATTGGGACAGGGAGAATTTACATTAGAAAAGAGATCCCTTTCACTATACACGTTTGATCAAACTTTTAGAATTTTTTTTTTTTAAAGAAAAAATATTAGAAGTGATTTAAAATAAATATTTTTGAAAGTAGTAATTTGTGTTTAACCAATTAATTTGAAAATAATTTTTTTGGTCCATATTAGATAATAAATCTATGCAGTTCAATATCCATTTTTAATACAACAACAAATCAAACAATCAATTAAAAAGTACATACAATATCAAAAATAACTTATCTTCATATCAAACAAATATTTATTTTCCTAAAAGTTGGGACAAACATTTCAACCCTCTAAAATAGGCATATATATTTTTTTTCAAAATAAATTAAAAACAACATATTTGGCTTTAGGGAAACTTGCCTAACATGCTTTAAATGATACTCAGAGAAAAAAAAAGAAGAAAATGAATGATATTTTTGTGTTTTGTTTTGTGTCCTTGTCCTAAACTTTGAGATGTGTAGGCTAATTTTAGGAATGGGACATTTACCAAACACTTTTAATTATTATTGTTGGGATAAAAAACAAAAAGTTGCATAAAAAATGAAATTAAAGCTAAGTGATACTGGTATTTTGGTAGCTCAAATGTCAAACTATTTTCAAAGTTTATTACTCTTAGATTTTTGCTATTACCTTTGATTCTCCATTATTCTTTGATTATCTCATTATTTCATTGTTGTTACTATTCCTTATTTCATTGTTGTTACTATTCCTTTTTAGGCTAGCTACTGCTTTCCTCATAAAGTATCATTTCTCCATTTTTCGAACTACTTTATTTGAGCTAGGGAAATCGATACAATCTCTCTATCTCCATAAGATGATTGTAAAGTATATATGTGTTGCATGTTTATATTTTATCTCTTTAATTAAGGGCCCGTTTGAATGGGCTTAATAAAAACAGCTTTAAAAAAGTACTTTTGAAAGTGCTGAAACTTATTTTTAAAATAAACAATTATGCGTTTGGATAAAAGTGCTGAAGTTACTATGCCAAACGTGAAAAGGGAAAAATGAAAGAAAGATATGTTAGGGTTATGTGGGTAATTTGGAAAATGTATAAAAATATTAAGGGCACCCCTACCCCAGCTTTTAACTTTTGACTTAAAATAAATATTTTTTTTAACATAAATAAGTTATTTTGAGTATTGCCAAACAGCTAAATAAGTCAAAAACCAGTTTTTAAGTCAGTTTGACCAGCTTTTAAGCTGAGCCAAACAGTTTCTAAATCTTACTTGTGAGATTATACTTAATATATTGTTGTTGTGTTATGCATTAATAAATGGATCCAAATAACAAATTCTTCGTTATCATATTAATTTCTGAATGTAATTTTTATTTAATTTTTTGACCTAAAACTTTAGAGGTGTTCACGGAAACAAGTAAACTCCTAGCTATATTAAAAAGAAATGTGACCACCATGAAGAGCAACCTTTATTATTTTTTATTTATTTCTCTTTTAAGGTACGTATATATTCATTATGACTTCCAAAATAAATATCCTTCTTTTCAAGCATTAAAGTTGGATGTAACACTTGAATTTATTCGTATTTTGTACCAAAAAAGAAAACATGTGAATTTGGTCCCATTTCTGCTAAAGTTGTGAACACACGAAGCTTCTAATAAAGTCATTTTGGCCACCTTTTTTTCAAACTTTTGCCTTTTGTTACGTAATAAAATATTCGTTAAAGAATATATATATCTAAGTAGTTGTAAAATTGTCATTATCCACTTATATTTTCTACTATAAAGATTTAACTTTTCTGTTTCCTTCTCTTTCTGGAAAATTAAGAATCATAAGCAGTAAACTGCAGTTTAATTAGTTGAAAGAATATGTTTTCGTTACAACAAATGAGGATACACTATACAAAATTAATCTTTAAAGACAATAGCTTAATTGTTGTTAAATATATATTAACAACAACGAGCATATGTCTTTAAAGCTTATAACGATATATGATCCTGTGACAATGAATTTAACGTCGGTTAAAAACTTAAGCACTCTTTGTTAATGTATATACTAATTAAAAGCTTGTCGCTAAAAGTTATTTTTACAGATGTGATAAATTTTAGAGTGAAGTTACGAGAAAAAACATATCATTAGTAAGAAGCATTCTTTATCCGAGTCCGGAGCCTAAAGGGTACAAAATATTAAGAAAAATTTCATAACGGTATATAAAATTTTATATTAACCAAAAGGATAAAATCGCTACACCAACAGCGACTTACCCCACCGGAAAAAGCAAAATCGCTACCTAAGCAGCGATTTATAAAAAAAAAATTCTTTTACAAAAATCGCTGCCCCAACAGCGATTTCAAAAAAAAAAAATTAAGAAATCGTTGCAGGGGCAGCGATTTCTTCAAAAAAAATTTTTTGAAATCGTTGCCCCTGCAGCGGTTTCTTAATTTAAAAAAAGAAATTCTTTTTTTGAAGAAATCGCTGCCCCAGCAGCGATTTTGTAAAAAAAAAAATTCTATAAATCACTGCTTAGGCAGCGATTTTATTTTTTATTTTAAAAAAAAATTAGATTTTGCAAAATCGCTACAGCGGCAGCGATTTTGCTTTTTCTAGTAGGGTAAGTCGCGGTTGGTGCAGCAATTTTACCCTTTTAGTTAACATAAAATTTTATATATCGTTTTGAAATTTTTGTTAATATTTTATACCCTTTAGGCTTCGGAATCTTCTTTATCCACAACTTCGTTTGTAATTGGGAATCAAAATCGACCTATGCTTTTGGTCACTAATAAATTTGTGGGTATTTTTAGGTGACAAATGACGTGGATGCTCATAATACATATCTCCTTCATAGTATATAATAATTAATATAAGTACCTTTCAATAAAAAGAACATAAAAGTAGATAAGATTTTTTTTTTATTAATTCAATTTGATCACGATCTTGCCTAACTTGTTTGCTACGATTTCATGATCCACCTCAAAATTATTAATATATAGTATTGAATGCAAATATGCAATTGGATTTTGCTTTTTGGCCTCTAGGCTCTACTAATAATAACATAGAGGAGATCAAGAGGATTTATTTACTCATTTGATTTAGGTCACGGATTTTGTAAGAAAGATGAATATGAATCATATGATTCTATGCACCTTTTTTTTGTTCCAATTTTGTGAAAACTTTCTTGATAGATAAGAAGGTATAATAATAATTTTGAGTTTTATACTTTTATGGATAGTAATAAAATATTAGTGGTATTTTATTATTCATAAAAACTTGAAAACTAAGTGATAAAAGGATTTAAACTTTTAAATTGATGACCTGCTTAAAGGTGTGTTATGTAGGAGGGAAGATATTTTCCCGAAAATGTTTTCGATAAATTTGTCGCTTCTTATCATTAAACACAATTCTTTTTTCTTGCAAAAATGGCTCTTTTTGCTGATATTTTTCTTCAACAGTTCATTTGAAATATAGTTTCTACGTTACTAATATTAGTAAGATAAGGTCTAGCTCCCCTTTCTTGTATATTTCTCTTTGAGATTTTTTTTCTGTTTATTAATAAAACTAGCCCTAGGCACATTGCTAGCGGATTTACGTTTAAAAAAAAAAGTTTCTAAGTTTTAAATAATTTTGTGTAGTGAGTCAATTTTGTTTGAAACTATTTCTTCGTACCAAATGCATCTTAAATTTTACACCACATTCTCAACAACAACAAAAAGAAAAAGAACAATTGTGAGTTGTTCTTTTAATACTCTTGAAGTATTTATGGACTTCACATTTTATTGGGCTTAAGAGGAGAATCTTTAGGTGGGTTGGGCTTCTCCTAAGATGCATAATGGGGCCAGATAAGCGCAGCTCTAAATTTGGATTTCAATATGGACTTCACATTTTATTGGCCCAATAAAAACTATGACATGATTCCCAATTTTGGAATTAAAAATGTATAAATTTTAGGAATCACATAGTTTTAATATGAAATTAAAATCTATCCTTCTTTAGTTTGTAATTCCTTAAAAAATAACATAAACCGGATACAATAGTATGTAGCTCAGATACATTAAAAAGTATTTCAAATACATCATAGCATAAATCGGATTGCTCGGTTACATCAAATACTGGCTCGGATACACTAAAATGTAGCTCGAATATGAAACTACGGATTTTAGAGATTTTTAGAAACAGAAGGGGATATTGAAAATAAGGAAAACATACTACGTGTATTTCAAAAAAAATCCACTGAAAATTGCAACATTTGAATTATTGAATTTCGATTAAAAAAAAATTAGAACACTAAGTAATTAACAATAGAAAGAAGAATGGAAATGAGTAATTTATACTCATAAAACGAAGACGAGAGAAATTACTCTTTAGTCAGTAATATCTTGATCTTTTCATAAGAAAGTTTCTTTCTTCTTGTTGTGATCATAGTTTTCATCTTTAACCTTTGTTTGCTCCTCTTGTTACAATTCACCCCACTGCCGTTTGCCGGCTTTTCTTTTATTTTTGTTACTGAGAATTTTATTTACACATATTTTATTTTTATTCTTGAACTCCTCACATATATAATAAGCAGCATTACTTGTTATGAAAATCACATAAATTAAATTACCTATACATTAGAAGAAAAAAAAGGTAAATAAGCTAATTGAGATACAAAGATGGCCAAGCCAAATAATAGAGTTTTGTCATTCATATTGATTCTTTCACTTCTTCTCTTTATCTCTTTGGTCGAAAGCAAATTTACTATTCATGGTAAGAATTGAAATTCCTACCCAATTTTGTCTCCATGGTCCTTTATTCACAAAAAATGTATCACATGTATATTGTTGTAAATTGTAGTAATAGTTTGTTATTACTATCCCTATTTATTTTTACTTGTCTATGGATATTCTGAATATGTGCAACTTTACGGACAAGTGATATTTGACTAATGTTATTTTACATTCAACACATATATCTGAGTAATTCGACTATTCGAGATTTCTTAGTTATCAACTCCTTCATTATTGACTTTGTTTCAAAATTTTGAAACAGAGGGTTCGAGTTTGAGTCCGAGTCCGAGTCCAAGTCCACAAAGTGAAATAGAATGTTCGAAGGTGGTGAATGTGAAGGATGGAGACACATGCTTCGACGTTTCTCATACATTTGGTTTGGGCAGTGATGAGTTCAATGCTATTAATCCAAACCTCAACTGTACTGCTCTTTTTGTAGGTCAATGGCTTTGTGTTGATGGTACCTTGTTTTAAAATTATATTGAATTAAGCTTATCTCTAAAGTAAAATGAAGTTACTATGGTTGGTTTAATTTGTTGTATCCAATACGTTATGAACTTTTCCTATTGTTGGAATTAATTCTCAAGTGGCACTAAATTTGCGCTTGTTATTACTAAATTGGACTTTCATTTCTTGTTGTAAAAAATAAGTATACATTACATCATTTCACATATATACATATAGTTCTCGAGCCGAAAACAATAGGTTCAAACGAACCTAGATTCACCTTTTGTTTTGCAAAATCATAGATGACCACTACAAAATCAGAGGCTGAATCTGCTTTGAAGCTCGATCAATGAACTATTACGCACTCTCGGGTTGCTAGCTATGTGTCCAGCAATTAAGAAACATGACTTGTTGAAGAGACTCATCCACATGTTTCCCTGTTTCTTCACCCTGCAGATTATTACTACTTCCAATTGGTAATCTTGGATTTTCTATTTGACAAAGTGGTCGAAACTTAGATGTATACTTAGAAGAATGATCAATTTGTCCTTCAACCATAGCTACACTAGCTGCCATACAAACTCTACTCAGATAAATACTACTCATATTCTTAATTTTCCTCTGTTTTGCTGTATTATTTTTTTTTCTTCCTCACTAAGATATTGGGTAGATAAGATTTGTGCACGGGTGCAGTTAATATATGAATTTAAGGGGCTGTATCCGTTGGCGTAGAGCAGTGGTTTTGGGTACAATATAAAACTCATAAAATAAATGGTGACCATAGTTTCGAGAATTTCTAGTGGCTGAATTATGTAACGTTTTTGTCAGCACTGTACTTGGTGCATGATTATTTTCTAAGTTATTATGCCGGGGGAATGTATCAGCAATTTTGTCTTTTATTATATAGTGAAAAATGATTTAAAAAATTATATTTACCTTCTATGTTATATTAAATCATATTACTTATAATGATCAGATTAAAAAGAATTTAATGATAAAACAACGTGTTTTATGTAATTATTCTTATCTATCCTAGCTTGAGTGGACGGCGTAATTATTTGAGACCTGGTGAGAGACAGTAACACGAATGTGGATAAGTATTTACCAAAACACTCTTTCACAACAAACTTCCCATGCCCCTAACAAAAGAAGAAAAAAAACTACTAAATTTGCCCACAGAGTTCTAGTGGTCTCATATTTTCCTACTAAATTTGCGCATTAATTTCGTGTTTTAACCCATTTTATCATTTAGGTATCTGTTTCTTGTTTTGCTTCTGTTTCCCCGTTCAATTTTTATTTTAAATTATTAGATGATGACTTTGACAGAGAATATATTTTCTCAATTTTATGAATATTTAAAACTGTGTAGTTAAATTTTGGATACATACACTGATTAAAGAAGTAAATCATAAAGGTCCCTTCAACTGAAAATCTCTCATTACTTAAAAGGAATGACATTATATACAGCTTTGAGGTTATACCAAGTAACTGTGATTGGGACATTGAAATTCTCTCTTGTGAATGTTCACTAATGTGTTTAGTGACATAATAGAACAACCAATTACACACAACAATAAGGCTGGTATCTTTTCCAGCCAAAGCTAAGATGTCGAAACAATACCTGCAAGTTATACAGATTCCACACCGCCTTCAACTTGCTGCCGAGCTAGGTACCTCTCTCTTCTTTCCTTCTATAAAGCACAAAGGAGAAGAAAACAGGATTATGAAACACTAAAGCGTCAGGAAAAGGAATTACAAGATTCTAATTGTAAGTTGAAACGATAGTTACCCATTCATCTATGACAAGCCCTTCACCAATAATCTTTGGACCTGTATCTTCCACAGGCTTCTTGCGTTCCTCAAGAGCAGCGTCTGCCTCCGCCAGCTGGCGCTTCAATTTTTCCAAAGTCTTCACAAGACAAAATGAACAAAAACTCGTTAGATGATTTTTTTCTCTGCCTTATAAAGGATGCTCTTTCATAATCTGAAGTGAAAAACCAACAAGAATGGCATCATGATATGGATGTTCACTATAATGTATACTTACTGGACTAGGACGTTCCACATCGAGAAAGATAACCCGCAGAATTTGCTCTACGGCTACTTGATCCTTTTGCTCTTCAAACTAAGAACATAGAGGCGATGATTAGAGATAATTTGAACAGGTTTCCCCTAAAGCTATGCAGTTTTCAACATAATTAAAAATGCATCTTTCAGCATGGATGAAAACATCTTTGCTGAAGTGTAATGACTATGCAGTTCATCACAGAGCCAATTTTGGTGGTATAATTCACCACATTATCATTGAAAACAAAAACCTACTGAGGGAGAACCCGATGTTCTTTGACAAAAATCAGAAGTATGCCTTCGCCATCAAAAAGTGATAACTGAAGCCCCCAGCCCACCAAACCCCCAGAAAGAAACAATTGACCTAATGTAATAAAAGTATAGAACAGACTCAAAACCAGCTTCTTTTATCACGGAAACTGGAAGTGCTGAAGGACATGCTAAAAAGGAAAGGAACTTCCTTGCAAAGAAATAATCTACTAACCAGCTCAGGTACATAGTCCATCGGTCCTTTCACCTTGAGGCTCATGATCTTGAACTTCACTCTGCTCTTCTGGTCCATTGGTTTTTCATTATTTTCTGGATGCTCTACAAACTTGAATACTATAACATTGACACAAAATCAGAATGAAATACTTGCACAATGTAATTATTCAATTGCAACATGACAATTGCATCTTGCATAAAATGGTATTCACAAGAAGAATGTGAAAGGAAATAGACTAAGAGTGATGAATATTACCGGTTGCAATGATGCTCTCACCGGGGGCGAGAATTGCTCCGGGAGGACGCATGAAACAGCTTTTGGGTGCAGTTGTTTGGAACTAAATGCAGAACAGGCAAACATCACCAACCATGTAAAAACAACAATGCATATAAAATAAATATGTCAAGATATATTCTCAAAATAGTTTCTAGCTAAAAACTATAAAGACGGCTAGGGGAGAATGAAGTGCCCGTGTATGGAGAAGAGACAAGAAATCATGAGTACCTTGAAAGCTACGTGAGACTTGCTGGAGTTTTTTATCTTGATAGCACTTCGAACTTGCTTACCAGGTTCATCTAGCAAATCGAAAGAGGCATCAAATAAAATGAGAAACGTATTCAATAACAACGGAAAAAAGGGGAACTTTAATTATTAAGAACCAGATCTTCCAGGAAAAATCATAAAATGTTGATCTTTTGGAAGTCAGTAATGCACATCTATATCTATGACAGCCAACAACAGGTGATATTCTAGCATAACTAAAGTAGAGAATAATTGAAAAAAGGTAAAACTCGGAAGCAGTCCTTTACAAGCACAAGTATAAAGAAGTTCATACAATCTTGTTGATCACTAGAGAGCGCATTTGCAAAATATCCAGATGCATAAACTACACTAACCACCAACTTGTAAAGCCATGGGATCAGATACGAAGAGTTCAAAAACCTCCAACCAAAACCCCAATGAGCTTTCTCAAGAAAAATACTGTATTCAACAAGTCAGATTCCTGAAACCAGGCTACATCAAGAGAAGAGTATACTGATATGTAACGCTAACTACCAAAACGGTTTCAACTATTTAGGAGACAACTAGAGTAGGTTAGTTATTACAATCACACTTCTAGGATCTGGTATATACTCCTGTCCGAGATAGGCAACATGCATTGACAGAAGAGGTTCTAGAAATTTGTTTACGCTATCTTAGGTGTACATAACTATATCAAACACATGTGCGATCAAATTAACATACTCTACACATACACAATCATTCATCTCATGATTTAGAGGACTAGCTTTACATTTTATAATCACTAATCTAATTTCACAAGAATCGGATGATGTTTCTTTGATATATTGCAAGAGTCGAACAATATAAAAGTAAAAAGACTTTCACATAAGGAAAGGAAAGAGACACCACCTAGTGTTGCATAACACCCACTGCGTGAGACTCATTAATTAAAGATGATATATTGAATTATTTTCTGCATAGTGGGTTTGGTAATTCGACCTCACTGATAGGATATACACGAGCAGGCGGAGGATCCTAACATAAAAAGAAAAGGCGTATGACAAGTGATCAATGAAAATCTTCAGTTATAATCCCTCTTTTTCAATTTATGTCATACTCCCTCCGTTTCAAAAAGGATGGCCTAGTTTGATTTGGAACGGAGTTTAAGAAATGAAAGAAACTTTTTGACCTTGTGGTTCTAAATTAAATTTATGTCAAATGTACCAAAATATACTTTAATCTTGTGGTTTTAAACATGTCACGTGGAAAGTTAAAGTTAAAGTGTTGCCAAAAAAAGAAAGAAATCATTTTTTTTTAAACGGAGGGAGTAGTTTTTTTTATGGTATGTCTCATAAAAAACACAATCACTTTCTATATTTATAGTTACCCTACAATTCCTACATCCCACATGGCATGGTTATAACTGCCAGAATGAATTTTGCACATCTTCACTTTAAGTTAGATTCAAAAGTCTCTCATACTTTCTTAAATTTCTTGTCTAATCAAATTAAGACATATAAAATGAAAGAAGAATCATTCTACTGATATTCACTGCAACAAATTTCAAGTGGTATCCTCCATACAAATGCACGAGGGATGAAATATAGCATGTCTCTGAGCAAGCTTTAATTGAGAGGTCATCATAACACACAACGGTCTGTTCCAAAAATAAAAGGATCTGGTTGGCTGGCCTTTCCCATACTAAACACTGCTGAATAGAAACTTGACCAAAAATTGATAACACTTTATTGCAAGACGACATGATCTAAAATAAGCATTATCATATAATGCATCACTAAGGCCTTACCTAAACAATTATTAACCAATCAATGATGAACGACTAAGTTATACTACCTTCATTTCATATTACTTGGCTTTATATAGTTATTTAACACTAAAGGCAACATTGGAAAGAAAGTAATAAATTCGTTGAAATGGACAAGTAAAATGAAATGGACGACCTGTTAATTCCACCAATTAAAGCTAGTTTTAAGTTCCACAAACACTAATTTCAACGGAATATCAATGAGATTTGCAGATAATCAAAAAATAAGGAGAGAGAATAGAGTCTTACAAGGAAAATAAAGCTTATTGGAAGGATCAAGTTTCAACCGACGGCGTGCAGGAAGCAAAGACCTGGCTACTGAAGAAACGGAGCTGGAACTGTTGCTACGAGGAACCGATCCATCATCCAGAGAAGTATTTCCGAGAGATTGATGTTGTTGACTGCGGTAATGAAGAGTATTATGCGAAGACGAACGCGAAGTCGTCGTTGACTGTGCGTTTCGAAAAGGGAGCTTAAACAGTCCCCAAACTTTACCGTCCTTCTCGTCGGCGATCGCCATCAGATACCGGAAACTAAGGAACTTTCACCGGTAATTCGGAGATTTCAGAACGACGTCGTGCAGTCTCCTTTATTGACAGCTTGTTGACAACACTTTTTGGAATAGCAGGGAGTTGAATTTTGGAAATGCAACGGGCAAAGTTGAGAAAGTTTGTGGGGGTTCTTACTTTTATACCGTTTAGTTTTTTTTTTTTAAATATAATATTAGAGAGAAGTATTGAAAATATTTAATGTAAGTTATTTGTATCTTTCTAGAATTATTGAAAGTTGTGAAAAAGTTTATTTTTGATAATCGATATATCAAGTGGTTCTAAATTCTGATGAATTATATGACTCTTAATAAAAAATTAAAATTTGAATTATAATTTTTAAATTTATCAAATTTTAATGTATTTTGCTCATACAGTTATAATGCAAAATTAAGAATATATATAAATTTAATTAGTTAAATAAAAAACATTTTTAATGTTTGTAGATAATACTAACAGTAATTCGCTTCATGTTTAGAAATATTTTATTTATATATATATATAGCTGTATTTAGAAGTGGTGGAATTTAACTTATACACCACCCGACATTTTAGTTTTTTTTTTGGTTATGCATTTTAGTCTACTATTTGTAGCGTTGAAAAAGGAGTATTATTTAATTTAAAACTTAATCATAATTAATGATAAAAGTTTATACAAAATGATTCGTATCTTGTAGAGTACTTATTGTTATTGGGTGGTATATATTGCAAGTACGAGAGAGAGAAAAAATCTTCATTTCAAATTAAATTTTGTTAAAATTTCTAGGTATGACTTTTTTAAGGAGTGCTAATACAAACAGCTTTATTTGTAAATCTACATAAATCAGACTTTAAAACAAATATTAACTGATGAAAAAAAAAATAGGAACTAATTAAGAAAAGAATTGGTACTTCATTTGGAAATAATGGACTAGTTTTAAATTGTTAGCTGTTGATTAAACATGAAATTAATAAAATAAAATAGTGGAGAGGTGGGTACAGAAAATAGTTGATGGATCATAACCATAGCAGCTAAGATATATGACATGAATATCTATAATATTTTGACTTAAAATTATATTTTGCAGTTTATGGATATTCCATATAAATGTGTTGTTTCACCAAATAAGACAATAAACCGTGAAGTGTCTTAGTATAAGAGATTGAAATATTTTTTTAGTTCTATAGTTTATAGTCCGGTCAAATTCATCAATAATATTTTATATCAGTTCCACCACAATATTATAATGTACTTTTAAAACTGTATTTTGGGTTTTAATTTTTTCTTTATTATTAAATATATAACATTCAAAATTTAGTTGAATTTATTAAAGGGATGTATTTTTGATCTATAAAGGTTTTTTAGTATCACCAAATACTTTTCTATCATTTCTTTTATTATTATTATTATTATTATTATAGATTTAATTTAAAAATCATGTTGTAGGGTAGAAATTAGAAAACGTCTTTTGTTCTTTAGGACATGATTGGCGGGAGAAGTGTCTTTGCCACGTGAGTCAGCATCCGCGTGAGCATATTGAAATTCAAAATTAAAATTATGGCCCCTTCTGATTAACTGAATATCGTAAATCAACGATAATATATTTAATGTAATTTTATAAGTGTTTAGTGATTTTAAAAATATATATAACTTCACTTATATATTGTGAATTGTAAAGATAAAAGACATTATTTCCGAGGCTCAAGTTTGAAATTTAGTAGGTAAGAAAGTGCAGCAACATCAAATAGTATAATATTAAAATAATATTTAAGCGATAATAAAAATTAAAGATGACAATAGTAATAAAATAAATAATTATAATACAGATTTTAAAAAAATTAACCAATATGTTAGCCTATCTATTATCTTTCCATTTTAATCCTCAAACCTCCAAATATTTTTTATCCAGATTTCCGGGTCCATGCCCTCTCGTGATTAAATTATATATTATGAAAAAATTAGCATGAAGAGTTCTTTTTTTTAATTAAACTTGGACCACTGGTCCCATTTTATTAACAAAGTCTTAAGCATGAAAAGGTTGACTTCGAAGTACGAGAAAATAAATTTTTTGTTTAAGTGGACGTTATTATGTGTTAGTCAAAGAAGTTCGCTCAATTAGTTGGATTGATTAGGTTTTTAATTACTTTGACCGATCCACATTAATTATTTCTAATAAATATTTTTTTTAAAAATAATTAGTCATCTTAATAAATGGGGTATTTATCTAAATTATCATTTGTTTATTTTCTTTAAATGTGTCGAGCACTCCACTAAGGCACTAACTAGAAAATTAGTACTAGTAGATTTAGCAAAAAACAAACAACTTATTATTTTTCTAAAACATTAAATATTATTAAAAAAATTCAGTTAGCCACAATGACTACAAATTTATATTTTCTCTCTTTCTAAACTTTTTATATTTTCTGTTTTTTCAAGATTCTAAGTTTAAGTTAAAAGTTTTCTTTGTTAAGTGGATATCACTACTTGTTATTCATTCTACGTAGTGGATTAAGTAAATGCAATTTGATTAGTGGATTAGGTTTCATAAATTCAAATTAAGTTGACTAATTCCATATTTCCATTAGTGGAAATGTAATTAATTCAGTCCAAGAAGGAAAAATAATGTCAAATATTCAAATTTTCTGCTGCTTAGACCAGCACAAATGCGTGTTTAATTTTTGTTTAAACTATTTCTACATGTGTTTCTTTCATTTTTTTTTTCAATGATCATTAATCCAAATCCAATTATGACTTGTTCTCTTCAGTAATTTTAGGATTGGATCTGACCGTTGGAACTTTTTGTCAAGATTATTGAAGAATGTGGACAAGTTACCTGAAAATGATTTTCGTTTTAAATATTCCCTTAATCCCCAAACTTATAGCCTAATCTTAAATATTTTAGGTTTGGCAAACATAAAAATTATGTTTGTTATGGCTATTAATATGTATATTTCTGCATACATATATAAAAGAATCAATTGTATAATATATTTCGGTATATAAATACAAAAGTATTAATTGTATAATATATGTTTTATAAATCAAGAAAGAGGGAAAGATAAGTAAAACTAGGTAGGAAAAAAATTGTATCTGTATAATTATAAGTGCATATGACGAAAATATATGTATTTGTATTTTATATATAATTTTCTCTCGTTTTATACAAACACAAACACAACTTATACATTTGTATTTATATATAGTGAGAGAGGCGAGCGAGATTCTATAGGGAGAGAAAAAGATATATATATATATATATATATATATATATATATATATACAGTTTTCTCTCGCTTTATACAAACAGAAACACATTTTATATATTTGTGTTTATATAAAGTGAGTGAGGCAAGAAAAAAACTGTCCAGTGAAAAATCGAGAATGGCAAGCAAGAAACTCAGACAAATGCTAATTGTTTACTACGTATTATAATTAAATCAAATTGTGAATATGATATAATTTGAATAAATAATTTGTTATTTTATATGATTTTTTCAATAATCAATGTTGATGTTAATAATTGTGGTTTGTGGCCTCGGTGGCCGAATAATGTTTACAATTTTGGGCTTATCTGATCTTTTTATTAGAGCAATTTATATGTACTTGTCAAAGCTTTATAATCTTCATGCTTGTATGAATATAATACTCGTGTCATAAGTTGTTTCAATGAAATTTGAGATGTGACAAAAGTAATAGAATTACTGTTTAGGGAAAATTGTATAGAATAGCAAATTAATAATTTAAAATAAATAAAGTAGTTAGGGTTTGATTTAATTGTGCTCCATAGCAAAAGTTAGCTAAAGTTTGCCAGACGTCTCTCTCCCAAAAATCTTGCTCGCCACTCTCCATTCTCGCTCGCCTCTCGCTTTATACACAGAAGTAAATATATATCTTCGTGTTATACATTTAATTATACAATTTACAAAATTTTTACTTCAAACATTGCAGAGTAAAAGGCCAACAAATTATACAATTGCAGTGAAATACAATTTTCTCTAGCTTTATACAACAGAAGTGTATATATTGTGTTTTTGTTTTTGTATAGAGCGAGAGAAAAACATATATATTCTTGCTATACACTTATAATTATGCAATATACATACATTTTAATTCGATTCAACTGTATGCAAAGCAAATTTTATAAAAATATTGTAACAAAATAGGCAGCGAATTATACAATTGTGCATTATACAATCGCAGTGACATAGGATAACGAATTATACAATTGTATATGTATAGTGAATTATATAGTTTTATGTTTGCTATGGAACGCAATTATGCAAACTTTGTTATAACATATAAATATGAATTTTTTTTTGCTTTATGTAAAAGCTGCCCTACTTTTTAACCCACGAAAACACTGTTTAAAAGAAAATTCACAAAAACAAAATTGAAAATATCGTTCCTCAACAAGACGGAGATAAAATTGGGCTAGAGGTTGGTCCAGCACACCATGCTACACACAAGGCCCAAATATATATATATATATATCTTCAAATAAAATAAAATTAAAAAAATTGGATTGTAAACCTAATGTTTTTTTAAAAAAAATATAGAATATGGTGTATGCTTACCATGAAAATGATAAGATACAAAATAAAATATTATTATTTATTTTTTATTATAAATAAGCAAAGACAAAAATAGAAAAAATTAAGATAATGATGTAATTATATCAAAATCAATCTATTCCTAAAATGATTATTATATGTACCCTACTTATATTATTTAGTTTTTCACCTGATATATGTTACTCCATATTAGAAATTGACTAATTTAAATTCGCGCTACATAATTAGAATTTTCTCTTTAAATCTGATACCTTTTGATTAAAAAAATAATACTTCATCTATTGCGTCATTTCAATTCTTCGTGCCCTAAATCTAAATAAATATTTTACTGAAAACTAATGAAATAACACAAATCAATAGCTAACAACAATCGAAAAAGCTGTACTAGTTGTAGTTCATTCACTGTGAACTATCAAATATACATGCACTAGCCAGTCTAAAAAACTCACTGGTCTTTCCTTATATATATATATACAAAAACCCTAAACCCAAGACTCAGATGAGTGTGTATATACATATATGACATTTTGTACAAAAGACTCATTTTGATGAGTCAAAGCAGAGCCACTGATGAGA